ACCCGGAACTTTATTTTTTTACATTATCAATGACCAGACAAATCATGCTGAATGTACTTACTGCCTGGACTAAGCTTTCAATGTGTTCCTTAGTTCTCTAATAATTGATCCATCGCAAATTGAGCTTCAAGTTTGCATGTTATGAAATTGGCTCAAATTATCAAATTTTTAAGTTTACAACAACCAAGCATAACCGATTTAACTGTATATGAACTAAAACCTATTAGTTATCCCCCTTTGACAAATATTGTTTTATGTTTACATAACTACTGCATGAAATTTACATTCAGTTTGAAATATAACTTTTTTGTATAATATCTCATTAAGTATTGTATGATATGAAAATAACAAACATACATCATCTTTGGCCTTTCTCCTTGACTTTTCATCATCTTCTGTATCACTAGCCACCTCTATTTTCTTCTTCCGTCTCTTCCTTTTCTCTTTCTATAATGTATATACAATGTACCATAACAATCAAAACAAAATAAACTCAAGACAACATGCACTTAGAAAATATAGATAAATATACAGTGTAACTTCTGAAGTCCGTCAAACTTCTAAAATCTGGAAACTTCTGAAATCTGAACAATTTTTAGGGTCCCGAAATTTCTCCTAATTTTTATGTGATTCATACCTCTGAATTCCGGAAACTTCCAAAATCCAAACTTTTTGGCAAGTCCCACAGGTGTTGGGTTTTCAGAAGTTACACTGTATTTTGTTTGGTTGACTAGAACTTGACCGTCTTTTTACAAGTTTTAAGAGTTTTGTACAGGTCATATAAAAAACTATTAACAAAATGTCACCTTTGGGTGTTCTTTATCTTCCAGTCCATACTCTGTGAGCACATGAGGTAATGTAGACTTTGTATGAGTTTTATAATGACTCTGAACCAACTTTGTTACAGGAACACTTCCAACAGAACTTTCTCCAACCTTTGTACTAGCCTTATCTGAAGATTTACCAGCCTTATTGTCTTTTTTTGCTAGTCTTTACATCTTGGTGTTTGTTCCTTATCAGCATTTGTGTTTACATTGTCAACATCTGTATCATTAGCTTTAGTGTCAACATGTTCAGTATTTTTCATCTTTAGTGTCAGAAGCTTTTATCAAAATTGTCATGTTTAGTATTGTCTTTTAGAGTCAAACAGCTTCTGGAATATCACTGTCTTTCTTTGGTGTAGAACTATCAGTTTTACCCTTGTTTTCTGGAAAAAAAAAAAACAACATTAAAATGCCATTGGTCAACAGTGAACGAAGGTTATGTACTTTAATGAATTTTCATATTTTTTTTTAGTTATTTTTTTATATTTATTTTTTATTTTTTTGGGGGGGGGGGGGGGGGGAGAGGGGGGAAGGGGGAGGAGAGTAATCAATTCTTTTCATCATGTTGATTAATCAAAGTTATGCTCAAATCTTTATGTTTCAATTTGAAAAGATAAACAAAAAACAGAGTCTTACCTGTACTTGTTTTCAGTTTTTCATTTTCTTTATCTTTTTTAACCTTGTCCTAAAAATATAAGAAAACTGAAGCAAACTAAAATTAAGATTCATGCTTATGGCATGTTTATCAACATTAAAGCTTTTCTTTCCTGGTTATTTGGCTACCAGTACAGTATCCATCTCTTGTCCAAATATTTAGACGTAAACCGCAGATTTGAAGCTATTTTTTACATTGGTCAAATCCCCTTTAACGTCTAAAGATATCTACATGTATTTATATAAAAGTCCATAGCAAAATGAAATAAACATGCACAATCATTCAAACTCGGACTATCTATGTAAAATGTGACAAATAATGCTTGATATTCATAATTCTACCACAAATGTGTATTCTTCATCTCAAAAACAACTTATTCAACTTTTATTAGTTTTAAACAATTTTACATGTACACAATTCTGTGTAAAATCTTTAGAAAACATTACAGTTTGTTCACAAAGGCATGCAATTTCGTGATTAATAATCTGTCAATTGACATAAACTATAAGAAAGTAAAGTAATTGGTACTTCACATATGCCATTTTTACTTTTAAAATTCACTATAAAACAGGGGTCCTACCAAACACTGCTAAGGTCTAAGGAGGCACAAAGACGATAAAAGAGCAATGCTTAATCTCCTGCATTTGTTTTACATACCTCAAGCTTAAATTTCTGATCTTTATTGAATATGTTGTTGTTTCCTTGTGTCATACAGAAGAAATACTTAAATGTTACAGCTTAAGCCTAATGTATGCGTAAGTTCATTGTTTCCCTTCTTGTTTCAAAATCAAAGCGTTAAGTACCGTGAACGGTAACCAGACAACTCACCCCCCAGACGATTCACCCCTCAAAAAAGCAAGACAACTCACCCCTCAAGACAGTTCACCCCTCAAAATAGATAAGACAATTCACCCCTCATAAATGATAATGAACCCGGGACCCTCGGAATACCGTTCCGCGGCTCTACCGACTGAGCTATCCGGCCGCTTACACATCTTCTCCCCTATATAGTGAACAGTTCTGAACCGTGACATGACTCCCCTGCTATATTGAAATTCGTCCTGAATTTCACAGAGTTACAGAGCAATGTAAATTAAAACTCTGACTATATGCAAGTCTCACGGTTTTCCCCGTTTGGGCGCCAATTCACAGGGTGAGAAAAATGTGCAGCCTGACCGGGGACTCGGAACCCGGGACCCTCGGATACCGTTCCGCGGCTCTACCGAGGGGGGGTGGGGGGGGGGGGGGGGGGGGGGGGGGGGGGGGGGGCGGGGGGGGGGGGGGGGGGGGGGGGGGGGGGGGGGGGGGGGGGGGGGTAAGGGGCTAGCTATCCGGCCGCTTACACATCTTCTCCCCTATATAGTGAACAGTTCTGAACCGTGACATAATGTTCAGCACATATACCATGATGTATACAACAAAAAATATTATGATATTTTTATGCATAAATGATAATCATGTTTATGGTTAAAAAAGAATAAGAAAGTCAAGATATTTATTTATTTTTATTTATTTATTATGTCATACATTTGTATTTACAAAATATAACTGTATAAAATCACATATACCATGATGTATACAACAAAAAATATAATTTTATTCAATCAAAGTAAGTTTATATTGAGGGAAATGCCCATAATGTATGCATTTTTCATAGGCATATTATCTATCATTTTTTAAAGAGTCTTGATATTTTTATTGTATATGATGCAAACATGTACACCTGTTTAATTATCCATTATCTTAAAGTGTTGAAAAACATATTGTCTATTCTACATCCACTTTTTTATCAGAAGCACTTAACACCTTAATCATTGCTTGATTGTCACTTCAACAAAATATATGAAGAAGAAGTACGATTGTATCATTTCTTTTTGGAATATTGTAAGATTTCAAAATGTTATTTTATGTCATTTAAGTATACTCGGAACTCGGTGTTATCGGCGCACCTCTATTATCGACGTATTCCGAAAATACGGTAATTTACATAAAAGCACCCGCCTACCCCATCCCACGTGAGTAAACAATAACAAGGAAGTTCACGCTCCATCAAATCGCTAAATTTTCGTAGAAAAGTCACAAATTCAGGTAAAATTTTTCATTATTAATAAAAATCTATTAAAAATCCTAATAATTTAAATATGCTTATAACCTCAACGTATTTTCCTTTTTTCAAAGCTTTATCCACAATAAATAAACATCGTCTGCTATCACTTTTCAATGTACACTGATGACGTCACTTTTTTTTCTATGGAAGGCCGTTTATGTAATAATTACACTTACATTATTAACCATCCTGAGCAGAGCAAGTTGTAGATATGCATTTTTAGGTAAGTTTTTTTACTCTGTTATTCTTCTTTCAGGTTTCTCATACAGTGACTGCTAAGAGGCGTCTTTCTTTTAGTACACCACACCCAGTGAAACTGAGGCGCCAGTATGACCCAGCAAATCTTCAACGTGCCTATGATGCAACCAATAAGGTATGTCTGCCTATGTGTTCTAGGCTGTATGGGGTGCCAGAATCTACCATCAAGGATAGACGATCAGGAAGGGTTGAGACTGGGGCAAATCCAGGTCCGTTGAAGTTATTTTCATCCGAAGAGGAGCAGAGGTTGGCAGACCATATAAAGCACATGGCCAGCATTTGGGTATGGCTATACTAAGGCCAACGTACAATATCTTGCGCTGATTTTGCAGTGGCTTGTGGCAAGAAAATGACCAGTGACAAACACTTAGTGACAGTTGGTTTATGGTTTCCTAACGAGATGGGAAAAATCTGAAAGTTTGCAAAACCTCAAAAGCTCTCTTTACTTCGAGCTAAATGTGCCTCCAAGGATTGTCCTTGATAATTATTTCAAGGAACTTTGCACCATTATTCTGATAATGGACTCAAAGGGAATCCCGAGCGCATTTATAACATTGATGAGACATGGCATTAATTACAGAGCATGCTCGCCACTTATAGTAATGTGATGCAACCTCTCAGCCACAAGCAGTTACTTCCCAAGATCATCAAACTGTGACAATTATTTGGTGGTGGAAATTGCTGTTGGGAACCCAGATCCCACCTATTACATTTTTTCCAGGGAAACGGTAAATAGTGAATTTTTAAATGGAGCTCCCACTGGTGCAGATGGTGAAATGTCTGATAGTGGTTGGTCTAATTCTCTAATTTTCCAAAATTATCTTACAAACACTTTATAAAGTATGCAAATGTCTCATCTGATACTCCAAACTCTGGTTCTTTTTGATGGACACAAATTCACATGTACAACTCTCTCTTGTTGACTGGCAAGAGAAAAAAAACATAATTCTGTTTGTGCTTCCACCTCACACAAGTCACATAACACAGCCTTTAGATGTTGGGGTATTCGGACCTTTGAAGTCTATGTACTATAGGGAATGTCAACTGTATTTACAGAAACATCCAGGTCAAAAGATCACCAAGTATGAGGTGTCTAAATTAAACTTCAAAGCCATACTTGAAAGCTCTGTGTCCTGAAAACCTCATTTCGTCTTTCCGGAAGACTGGAATATATCCATTCTCAGATTGTACCATCAAAGAGTCCCAGATAGCACACCTCTTCAATTTATCCAAGTGTTCCTGATGTGTCTTCGGTTGATCCTCAATCTCAATGTTTTCAGTGTTCTCCAAGACAAACCAATGTGCCAATAAATGCCCAAGAAACTGACAAAGAAAACATTCCAGAAGGTGTACTTAGTCCTAGAAGTATTTTCTTCAAGTCAAGACCATCACTGGCATCTCTGATCCCAGTAGGAAACCCTAGAAAGAAGTTTTGTACACATTTCTAGCTGGTAGTTTGTCAAAGCCCAACAACATCACAGTGCTTTCAAGCTAAAAAGCCCAAAGCAAATCAAGCAACAATCACAGATAATTCCTCTCAATCTGTAAGATCTGTAAGTAAATCCTCTACTACAAAAGCAGTTCCACCATCTTCTTCAAAACAACTTCCTCGTCCAGTCCTTTCTGCTTATTATGTCAGCAGTTCAGAGGCTGAAACTGAGTCTGGATCTGAGGATGAATCTTCAAATTGCTGTGTGTGCCATAAAATTTTCACCTCAGCTCTTAAGCAGTGTACAAGTTTAGTTATTGTGAAGTGGGCTCAATGCGATAAGTGTCATCACTGGACAATTTGTCCTTCTACACTGAGGTCAGGTTTGTGCGGCGTCATAGTGAATTTTATGTCCCACTGCCAATAAATCACATTTAAAACTGTAAAAAAAACTGTTTAAAGACTGTTGAACTGTTTCCTGTTCCATGTTGACTTTATAAATATCCAGTTAATTGTTTTGAAATAACACTTTGACATTGTTTGGTGACATTTTATTTGGAAAACCCATGAACTTGTTGAATCATACTCTTGACTTGAAACTTTTATAAATCAACCATAATATGTGTGTAAAGTACAGAAAGATAATTATTTGACGGTGGATAGCCAAACTATAAGGTAAGACAAGTTTTCAGTCATTTTTTTTACAACAACGGCTTGCCATAGTTGATCAATGCTGAATACGTCGATAATAGAGTGTTCTCCCTTTAGGAATTGTGTATGCGGTCATGCGTATTGAAGCTAAAACATCTTTGACCCAGTTAAGCATACAAACTGAATTTCTCACGGTAAATTTGTAGAAAAGGTGTTTGCTTTTTCACGCAAAATATAAATTATTTAATCTGACACTGAAAAATAACGCGTACATAGTGGAAACTTTAAGTACGCCGATAATACGGCGTTCCAGGCTATAATCGGGACATTTGGGAAATATTGCATGATTGTCTTTTCATATTGCATGATGTGTGCATATAATGGGGATAAGAAAATGGGGGGTGAATTGTCTGTGTCAAAAATCCAATAATGTGGGGTGAACTGTCTGGGGGGTGAGTTGTCTGGAAAAAACGGCTTAGGGTGAATCGTCTGGGGGGTGAGTTGTCTGTAAGCCCCGTGAACTATGACCAGCGAAGTATGTCTTACGATATTCAGCAAAATAATTAAGTATTGTAAAACATATTTGAAACAAAAACGCACCAAGAAAATCTTCAAATAACGATTTTATACCTTATTTGAAGTTGTTTTCTCTTTTTCAGTTTTATCATCTGTGTCGGCCATGTTGGTTGTCTAGGACGCTTAATATACTGGCGAATGTTAGAAAATAGTGATATCGTTATCATCTACTTATTTTCAATAACGTGAGTTTACGTGACCACATATATCTATGTATTCAATATTTCAAAAAGTTTGGTAGCATATCTATCAACAAGATTTTGATAGAAATCAATGACCTTTGAACATCTTAATTCTGTCTGTGATTTATGGGCAATTGTTTCCCCCATTTAATTAATTTAAAAAAGCGCGCGTGGTATTAGGCCCTACCACAGTGTAAAATTAATTAAATATTAGCTCCGGACCGTATAATTTTCAAGGAAATGTTTAGTAGCAAAGTCTTTTAACACGTTTATAATCGAAGGCTCATAGGCATAATGACATAGATCCAGTTATGGTTAAGACAACCACATTTAATTAAAACTGTAATGTCTAGCTGTTGTCTTGATTCATATATAGAGCGTTGTAGGGTATATGTGAACCATCGGCTATTTTGGACCGCACCTCATTATAACGTTTAGAAGTATATTTCAGTTAGAAATAACAACCAATCGTCCTTTTTTCTGCTGGCTACCACCTAGTGCCTGTACATTATGTGAATATTATAATTTGTTACATGATGTGAAATTTAGGAGAATCATGCCACTGTTTTCTAATAACCTTAAGAAAAAAATAGCCAATACTTAAATTCATAAACCCTATTTATGATATATTTTGTAGAAGTAAACTATAAATTTAGGATAAAAAATCCCCTGATCAACATGTGAGCATATATTAGTTCTTAAAACTACTTGATTCATCATAAAATGTGGTTCCAAAACTCCCGACAACATGATGTAGGGTGTTTTTGGACACGTGAATATCATTTTTTTTATGTTATTAGATATTATAGAAACGTATCATTAACTCAGTGAAGTTGTGTTTGTATGTCAGATATGTTTAAATAGAAAAAAAAACAAAAAACAAAAAAAAACAAAAAACATCTTAAAACAAAATTATAGAAAGGGCAGAGAAAATGAGGATAATGACTCAGACTTAAAGCGGGAAAATCTGAAAAGGGAATTTGACTCCTTAGAGATTCAGTTTATTGTGATGACAATGATCTTGCAGATATGGATACTAGCATTACACTTAAACATGCTACTCCTGCAACATTCCTTTTCTTATTAAAAGTGCTATATAATGTCACGGATATACGTGAGTTCTCACTCGGGAGGATAGGGCGTTCAAAGAGGAACCTGTAAATATATTGTTGGCACACAATAAGATAGAAATACGGAGTCAATGAAAAAAACAACAGCTCTCGCTAAAAGTTCTCATTTCATGTGCTATTGATAATTCCAAGCTATATACATACACATATCATAGTAATTCATGTTTACAATGTTTTATAACCTCAAATATACCTGTAAATATATTGTTGGCACACAATAAAATAGAAATACGGAGTCAATGAAAAAAACAACAGCTCTCGCTAAAAGTTCTCATTTCTTGTGCGCATGCGTAAAGGTTAGCGTGACCGAATTCAAAAATGATGTGAATGAGGCCCGTCAACGTGTTACAGGTCAAATGAAGTTATTAATATGAAGTTGAATAATGATTGAAAAAGAGACGATAGGGGAATGATATAGAGTATGGGTATGAATTACAGAGTATTCAAGCAAAGACAAAATGACCCTGTGACATACTTCCCCGCCAAGGATAAAATGGCGTCCCGACATTTTCAACTCATAAACAAAAATTACTGATACCTGCATATATATAAAAAACCATACTGTCTAACTACAGTAGAACTTATACTAAGGACATGGGACTCGTTAAAGTACTTCTGCCATAACAGTGAAAATACCCATAAAGGTAATGTATACTGGAGGCATTAACAAACCAGAAAAGTGCCCGAAGCACTGTTGGTAATGGTGAACGCGTTCTTTGGGGATTGTGAACCATGCACGTAAGTACACTGACTCGTTTACAAAACTGTAGAACTTGTGTTATGTTTTCACATTACACAATATTCAAAGTAACTATTTCAGAGTAAATAAAATTTGTCAAATCTCTTTTTGAAGAAATTTTACAAATCGGTTAAATACAAACCATACTTACAAAATTATATATGACGAAACCCTACATTATATGATAACACATATGAATAAAACACTAATCTCAAACATCAGTAAACCAACACTGACAATTTGAAATTAAGATTATACAAAAACTCAACTGAAACAATTTATTTTCTCATCTTTTATATAACAATTTACAAAAAATGAACAAAATCAATTTGACATCTGTCTGAGAAGCTGTACTACTATTTCGTACTCAAATTCCAATCATCAGTCATCCAGCGTGGCTTCTCTCTTACTCTAGAAGTTCTTCGAGGAATAAAAGGTGGAGCTTCCGGTCTTAACAAACTATTACCTGGCCGTCTTGCAGGAATAACATACTTATCAGATTCCGCGGATACTAATGATGGATTGTCTGAAATAGAAGTTTTAATGGAAGTACTCGAAGACTAAAAAGGTTTAGGTGCTGCTGTGTCTGAAAAGGAAATAGAATTGACAGGAGAATTTCGCTGAAAACTGCCATTACTAGGAGAGTGAGGTGACAGTCGTTTCGGTTCCTGTAGCGGGAGTAGCATATTACGGTGAAGTAACTTTGGTGCATCATCACTATCTTTCGGCTTTACCTGAAATATAGGTAAATCTAGGTTAGGCTGATCAACTACAGTGTATATAGTTTTACTCAAACGATCAGCTAACTTACACTTACCTTTTAAACCAACGTTTCTCACTAATACACGGTCACCTGGAACAAGACGTACTTCCCGAACACGAAGATTGTAACGCTTCTTGTGCCGTTTCATGTACCAGCACGTTTAAAGCATAGCAAAATCTATGTTATCATAGTACAAAATGAAGACAAGGAAACGAGCAATTGCCGATTTGAGGTTTATTATCCAAGAATGGCGCTAATTAATGCACCTTTTTCGTGCATTAACATCTGCAGAAGCCTTCAGACATTTTAAATCACTCACTGTGCTGTCTCAGATTGTGTCTTCATGCTTCTGAAGATGTTAATGCATACAGAAAGGGGCATTAACCATCTTAATTAGAGTACTTAATCGAAATGAACAGATAAATTTGACCATTTGACCTCACATACTCTATAGATCTATAAAGCATCATAAAATAGTATATTTGATTTAGACTTGTTAATATTAAAACAAATTTTCAATCAAATTAAACTATGCAAAATAAGATTTACTGCTTGATGTTTTGTTACAAAATTTTTACACTAAAATCAATGTGTCCCAAAATGCCCTTCTTTCTGTCCATAAATACTCATAACATAACATAACATAACATAACATAACATAATTAATATTTTGTTCAATGATACACAGTTAGAATTACTCACTACTCAGCTTAACGCAAATACATGTATGATCAGAATATATTTAAATTGTAGATAAAATAAAATTACATATATACATACAAATCTAGCTGAAATTGAAAAGGTTAATCATCTATTTAAATACTCCCTAAGTTATGGTTATTGTTATTATAACTTAAAAGCTTATAAAGTGCATTAATTATTGTATATAAAAGCTGACCCTGCATCAATATTTTTATAAATTATATACTATCGTTGTATTTATGAAATGAAAATTATCCATTTTTTAAAGGTTAAGTATTGATAGGTGAAACATCGCATTTATAATTCCTTTCAAAAGTACTGTATAGTCACCTAACAATAAAGCATGTTTGTAAAACATTATGATTATTATTTTCTCCGAGTATATACTGAAGTTTAATCATTAATCAGTTTTACTTTAACGCTTTTTGAATTGTACTAGTTTTTTTTTAATCGAGTGTACTTATTAGCTGGAGTGCTTTGAAATTAAAAGATTATATTATATTGAAAGTACGCATATACTGTAATACTTGCATTTTAAAATAGATTAAGACGCGTGAATTGCAACAGAACTTAATTGAATGTGTATTGAAGTTCTGTATACATATATTTATAATATGTGAAGAAATGTGTTCGTCAGTAATGTACAAAAACATGATGCTTTAATTCGAGGAGAAATGAGGCTTAAGTGTCTTTCGAATAACAGGAATACATTAAGGTGGTAAAGTTGGAAATAGGAAAAAACGGAGGAAAATGGATGCTATTATGCCAGTTAATCGAAAACTGGCAAGCGGCGAATCTGGAACATCGGCGGAGTTTGTGGCGTTGATAATTGTCTCAGCAACATGCCCATCTCTCATCCGAAATCTTCTTGCTGTACTATATCCAAACTTTATCTTGTTTAACAACAAGTCATTTTGGTAGGTAAAGTTTTTCTCTTTGAGAAGAACTTTTTTTTTATTAAATTCTGGATATATACAAATTAAAATTTAAGGACATTGCAAGGTTATCGTTGAAAATGCGTACATACATAATTATAAGTCTTTTCATAAGTTCTTCTTAAAATTCATATTTAAAACAACTATAACGTAACTGTCGTTTGAGACGATACATAGGGTTAAATAACTTGTAACAGGAAGAGTCGTCAGAAGTCGTGAATTAGAAAGTGTCGACGAAACAAGGCAAAGATTACTTAGAATCGGACAACAATGACTGATAAACTGATAAACTGATAAGAGTACATCAAAGGACATAAGTCTACTGCTTATTTGAGTACCTTCTATTGAAATGGAGCTTTATATAAAGTTAAGAGACGAATTCAAATAAATGTTGCTAAGCGTGAAGTCTGTTGCTGATCACCCCCTCCCCACCCACCCGCCCCCAAAAAAAACAACAACAATCAAAACAATAACAAAACAATAACTTAGAATACACATTACCACTTGGTTAAAGATATAGTATCATGCTCAAATTGGATATTTTAGAATATTGCTTTAAAAATAATATTATATGACATAACAATGTTGTGACTATAGATATGTTATGTTTTAAATCTACGCACTATATGTGTGCACAACATGAATATAATTTATATTGTCATTAAAAAATGGCAGTTTTTTAAAGAAAAAATCAACTTTAATACATAATGCAGCTTAAATTCCAATACATAGTTTATTCATTCTTTTATTCAAATTAGAAATATTCAGTAAGGGTTTCATAGATTTTATTTAATTTCTGTGATAAAAAATTTAACTCAACGATAGGCATAGTGTATCTTTAATAATCAATACTAAGATGATATAATAAATTCGAATCAATCAAAAAAATCTTGACAAGAATTGCGGGAAGAAACAGCATTTATGACAGGGTCAAGTCATAATTTGCTGTGACTATAAATCCATGACGTACATACGAAATTGCAAAAATATGTATCCCTTAGGGAGCGTATGAAATATCATCTCGACCTTTTTGGTAATTAGATTATCTTAAGTACATTTAACCTCTTGACCAGACTATCAAATATTGGTCAACTTTTGTATTTTAATTTAATCCTTTGTAATCTTTGAACCGACTGCGTGACTTATTCTTCTTTATACATATACACATTTCATAACAAATGTTGTCTTTTTCAGCAGTTAGCTCGTTGTCTAATTTTATTTTTATATGAACTTTTTCTATTTTAAGGGTCACACTTGTATTTGAGTTCTGCATAATCATACTTCCTGTGGAGCTGATGATAACATTATGGAATGTTCAATCGCACTACTTCTTACTCATCACGTGGTCCTGCATCATTCTTGTACTTGTGTCCGGCTTGTGCAGAAAGGGGTTTCAAAGCGCTTTTAAATCGACGTCGTTTTTAAAAGTAACAATGTCAAACTGTCCATTTGTTTCATATTTCAGAGCCTATACAAATATATTCACAGGTTTTTCAATTTTAGCTGTTGATTTTAGGATTTACCCGCAATATTTTTATAAGTCACGTGTTTTCGGTACAGCTCTAATGGATTCAGGTCTAGGATTTTATATCATATCAAACGCAATTGTTTCTGCTGAAGCTAGAGGAATAGAAACAACAAAAAGGTAATTTCATTTGAAAAAGTAATTTTAGAGCAGTATTATTGACAAATATAAAACTAGATCTATAAGGCATTTTGCTACCAGATCATTTATGAATTGACAGGATTGCTTGTGTACTTTGTTGATTATTTTCCAAATGCCACAGGGTGAGAAAAATGTGCAGTCTGACCGGGACTCGAACCTAGGACCCTCGGAATACCGTTCTCTACCGACTGAGCTAAATATTGAACAGTTCTGAAGCGTGTCATTCTCCCCCACGATATTGAAATTCATTCCTAAATTTCTCAGGGTTTCATAGCAATACAAATTAAATTCTGAGCTCTATTCAGTCACTGTTCCCCTTTTGGCGCCAAATGTCACAGGATGAAAAAAATGTGCATCCTGACCGGGACTCGAACCTGGGACACTCGGATACCGTTGAGCGGCTATGCCGACTGAGCTGCACATCCTTTCCCCTTAATACTAGTAGTGAACAGTGAGATATACCATTATGAACTCTATGAAAAATAACATGCCTTATACACACTTTCGTTTGAAAATTTACATTTAATAACTCTTACAATATTTATATTGTTCATAACTATATATAGAGTTTACTTTTTTATGTTGATTTTCAGTGCCAAAAGAGCATTGACAAAAGCATCAAAAGATACCATTCCATTGATCTTTCTCGGTGTTGGCAGATATTTTCTTTTGAATTCATTAGGCTATCACTATCCAATTCAAGAATACGGCGTTCATTGGAATTTCTTCTTTACACTGGCAGTTGTCAAGGTAGAAACACATATTTAATTGTTGATAGGAATTTATTTTTGACTAAGAAACCCCTATTCGAGTGCATTGATTTGGAGACAAAAAAGATTAAATGTAATTGTAGGAGGGTTGAAAAAAAGTTTTGACACGGAAAAAGAATTGTCTCCTGTAGTTTTGCTTTTGTGGGTTAATTCCCTTTCAATATAAATGTGCTTAAGCTCATGATATATACTAGTCACTGCAGCGGAGCAAGACATATCATTACCTATTTGGTGTTGCCTTTCTGTGTTGGACTTATTTACTTGCCTATCTTTATATTAAGTTTCATAGACTTTCTGAACAAGACTTGGTGTCGATGTCATAACATTTTTGGAAGAAACTGATTTAAACAGGCAACTAAAGGCTGAAGGTCGTACATATCTTGCATGTAGTTTAAAGAGTTTTAATCATTTACAAAATCCGTCTAAAAGCCTTATCCCTGTTTACAAAGAATCAGAAACATTCCGTTCTGATAATTAGTTAAAAAAGTTTACAGTAAACATTTTTCTCAGTTCTGTCCATATTTCCAATCACATCTTATGTACAAGTACTATAATTGCAGATGGGATCAACAATTATGTTTAGTTTTACTCCTGTGAAGATGTGGAAATTCTTAGGACCTTTAGTGATTGTGGTGCACCAAGGATTACTTTTAACTACAAGCTATCGTAACTTTGTATTGTTTGGTTGGAAGGGAGATGCAGCGCGTGATGGCGGCTTCTTAGAAGCAAATAGAGAAGGTATTATAGCGTCTGTGGGGTTCTTAGCGATCTATTTAATTGGTGTACAGCTCGGAACTCTCCTGATGAAGAAAAGGTAAATATATGATACCTGAAAATAATAACTTATATTTCAATATCTAATAATCTTAAATTATTGTGATGTCTTACTTTTGTACTGTCGTAGCTTACTGTATAACGTACACGTATAAGTGTTCTATCTTATATATTAGGTAAACATACCTCTCCACAGTATCAGTAATTTGGCAATTGATATTTGAGCCGCGCCATGACAAAACCAACAAAGTGCGTTTGCAACCAGCATGGATCCTGATCAGACTGCCCGGATGCTGTTCGCTGTCAGTTTCTCTACTTGTTATAGGATTTGTAAGCGAACAGCATGGATCCTGATCAGACTGCGCAAATGCGCAGGTTGGTCTGGATCCATGCTGGTCGCAAACGCATTACGTTGGTTTTGTCATGGCGCGGCTCATTTAATTTGAATACCATCAGGGAAACTATTGGTGACTGGCTGACTATCCTGCTCTGGCTCACAGTTGTGTGTTCATCCTGTTGGATTATGCTTGAAATAACAAGGTTGACTGTTCAAAGACCATCTAGAAAGTTTGCAAATCTTTCGTACACATTCTTCGTGGTAAGTTAGATCATTTTATGTTTCTAAATATAATGCTAGAGTAACGTTTTTCATCAATTCAACAAACATTATGGTATTATTAATTATCACAATTATAAAAAGAAATATTTCAGCTAATCTAGTGTTATATTGTGAAGCTTTAGAAATATGCTTGAAAATTAAGTAAATTCAAAGTTAAAAAGCTACAGAAATTAAATACATCATGTTCTTGCTTAAACTGGACAAGATTCTGTTATTAATTCAATGAGAAAAATTAACTCTCCTCAACAAAGTTAATGTGTTTGTTTTTTTTAGATTGGTGTAACAAGTCTTCTAATAGTTGAAGGATTGGCATTTGATATTCTCATCAGCTATATCAAACAAGTCACTAACAACAGCATCCAAACTATAGGTATTTCCACTACACTGTATTTGATAGTTATTTTGTAAATCATTTTAAATGCATCTACTATCATTTAAAAATTATCATAATATATAATAGATGTATGTCATGAATTAGAACGAAATATTTCAAAATTAGCATTTGAGCCGCGTCATGACGAAACCAACGTAATGGGTTTGCGACCAGCATGGATCCAGACCAGCCTGCACATCCGCGCAGTCTGATCAGGATCCATGCTGTTGAGTCGCTATCAGTTTCTCTACTTGTTATAGGGTTTGTAAGCGAACAACATGGATCCTGATCAGACTGCGCGGATGCGCAGGCTGGTCTGAATCCATGCTGGTCGCAAACCCATTATGTTGGTTTGTCGTGACGCGGCTCAATTATGTCCATTCGTAACTTTTATTTGTTTATAGTTCTAAAGCTACAATTTCATTTCTTATAATTCAAAATTGATAAAATATGCAAATGCATTAATTACCACAAGATGTACATCTTATATTTGCCGGAATAACTTGAAAAATAAATTGAATGGTCTTTTAAACCTAACCTCATATCTTACATTACCGAATGTTATTCTTTTGATGCTATTTGTTGATTTTACAAAATATGTACTTGTATTAGTATTGATTGATCTCTTGAAATGGAACTAAATTTTGGAAACTAAATTTATTGCTTTTAGCAGCCTCTAAAACAAAAATATGATACATTCGTGTTTTTCACTAAACATGTAGAATAAATGAAAATATTATGAGCCGCGTCATGACCAGCCTGCGTATCCGCGCAGTCTGATCAGGATCCATGCTGTTCGCTATCAGTTTCTCTACTTGTAATAGAGTTGGTAAGCGAACAGTATGGATCCTGATCAGACTGTGCGGATGCGCAAGCTGGTCTGGATCTATGCTGGTCGCAAACCCATTATGTTGGTTTTGTCATGACGCGGCTCTTATTTCTATGCTTTATAGGGATACAATATCCTGGTTGACATGATGCCAAACAAGCAAGAACAATACACAATGTGTATTGTTCTTGCTTGTTTGGCATCATGTCAACCAGGATATTATGTCATATAATGCATTTGCTAATTAATAAGTTAAGAACGAAACAGTTTTATTCAAATTTAGGTTTGAACGTCTGACCACGTTTACTTAAGAGATATAAAGTGTGATAACGTCATATGGAGTATGAAACATATTAGCGTCTACCTTAAACATGAGGTTAACTGGTTTTCAAGTTACCAATAGTTTTATACTTGATGGTGTCTCTTCATAATGATTACCTTAAAATCTTACAGCCTGGGATACGTTGTTATTTTGCATTCATTTCCTTACAGTTGTGTTATTAATGATACCAATGCAACGTTTCCAATAAAATAACACTGCAACATGCTGTTGACATAATCTGGTTGTTTGGCTTATATTTTCCTTCTGATGTTTCATTTATTTGTGTATCAAAACAAGCTCAATATATAATCCATTACGATTTTAAAGTAATATTCGCTCACTATTTATGCTATCTTTTATTTTAGATCAATCAAACATATCAACAGATAGAACATGCAGTCTACTTCAAGCGATCAATTATAACGGTCTCCTTTTCTTTGCCGTCGCAAACTTAATGACTGGACTAATAAACCTCAGCATCGACTCAAAGTCCAAATCCGACAGGGAGGGATTTACAATAGTTACAGTGTATATGATGATTTTATCTGTTTTGTTTTTATATATGTATCGACATAAGATGTCTTTTAAGGCGTTTTTATGGAGGAAAAATCGTACAAAATCTCTACCAAGCTGACAACGCATTGTATGAACAGTAAACAGTTAAAGAAATAACTGCATTCAGTGTCTTGTTTTTTGCACCACATTTGGTTTTAGTATAATTATAAATAGTTGAGATTTTATTAATCCAATTAGAAAGAGGTTTTATTTAATAGAAAAATAAAAGAAACGTTACTTTCTTCGTTTGTTTTATTGTGATAGGAGTTTTCGATCACATTTCGATGTAATATTTTGTTGTAAGTTATGACAGTAATACGAGTATAGTAGTTACAGTGTACAATACATTAAATTTTACTTTATCATATTCGTATCAAAACACTATGGAACAAATAATGATAAATGTTTATTCCATAAAACATCTCCGACGTTTCGAGGTGTTTGAAGACCTCAGCTGCCATTTTGTACAGCAGGCAAGAACGGGATCCTGAATAGAACCACCGTCCTTCGTAAACTAACTAGTATTTTATTCCACTCCACAGCGGAGAAGGGAGAGTGATATAACTCGGCCACCTGAATCATGCGCCACGGCTTGGATTATTCTCCGAGCACCTTTATTTTTATAAACATTTATTTCACTTGTTTCATAACGTACGTTTCATATTTCCCTAACTGTCATTTATCAACAGGCAGGGAATCACCACTTTAAAATCCTCCCGGAGATAAAAGTTGATACTGGTGTCAGGAAAACATAACAAATATTATATCATTATTTTATTTCTCTCAAACCCACTTTTGTTAACACCCCAGTTACACAGAGCCATCGGTGATTGATCGGTAGTTTTTTAGCCAAATTATGGAGTGAACCGATGACAACGTATTTAACACCGATATCACCGATTGGTCACCTGTTTTCCACCTATCAACTGCTATTGGGGAAAGATGAGTTTCATCGGTGAAAAATTACCGATTGGGATTTTTAAACACGTTTAAAATTCTCGATCGGTGAAATTTTTTTAAAAATAACCGACGGTAACCTATTTCACGAGAAATGCAAGCTCTTAATCACCGATATCGCCGATCGGACAAAGATAACCAAATATGAATCACCGGCCATATCTGACGGAAAATGTTTAATCACTGATGACTAGCTATCAAACACCGATTAATCAGCGTTACGCCCGATTTAGCTCCGATTTACAAACGATAAAAACCAAAAGTATTTCAGCATTTAATCATCGACCCATTCCCGTTTGAGTTTGCTTTCTGTCACTGATGGCCGTTTACACAGAAAACCAGAAATAAAATCACGCATGACAACCGATCATAACAGCGAGTAAATTTAATTAACAGAAAACATAACGCTCTTATGTAAAATATTTTACTACTTCGAAACAAGTTTATCTTACCAAATTATATAAAAATATGTAGTTTTAAAGGACCATTATACCCATGAAATGCTTTTATTTTTCAAAGGCTATTTACTTTTGCTGTACTATAATAGTTTCCAAAAAGTTACTCGTTGTCAAATTAGCTAAACCATTCTTGTCTTCTGCAATGTTTTTTTGGCAATGAGTACAGAAATAGTCATTAAGTATTTTGTATGAAAGTCAAAATACTACTTTGTTTACATTTTGTTACCTTTATGACAAATTATTTCACATTCAGCGCTACTTTACTCACGTAAATAGCAACTAACATGCTCCAAAACCATTATTTTAACATTGTATAATTCACGTTTGCCTTTTCTTAAGAAGTAAAACTATTTTTTTGAGGCATAATGTGTCTTTCAACCAAGATTAATGTTATTTTGTCGTTTTCATGAAACCAGGGACTTTCTTGCGCAATCAAAACAATAAGCATTTTCTATTGAAAATTAGCACACATCCCAACACTGACTAATCAAACTTGAATATATACATAAAATTTTAGGATATTGCTTTTGTTGGAAAAGCTCTAATTCAAACAGGAAATTAAACAGCAATAAAAATATCCCCTTAAGCGACGTTAATACGTATTAAACAGCGGTGTTTGAATAAAAAGACTTAAAGATGATCTATAATACACAAGAGCCGGAACGTTCAAAGAACAAAACGTTACAGCATTGTACTTATACACAACAATATTCTATAGATGAACACAATTATGTATGTAAAAAGTTAGTTCACAAAAATACACAGACAAAACAATATAAACTATCGAATACTTACACAGACAATAATTGTTTTAGAAGGAACACACAATAATGTCGCTTTAAAGTGGACAATGAAAATGTTTTGAACTTACTTAGGAAAACCTTATTATAAACAAATTGTTGTTGTTGCATAATAGATGAACTCTATATAAAGCTGTGTCGTTAATACTTATTATGTGGTTAGATATAATCTTTTATTAACTACCATACAATGGACAATGCCAACATGTAACCGAATTAAAATTGTATCATAAGTTGGAAAATATTACGTCATGCGCACTGTGACATAAATAAACTTCTCAAACCTGCTTTGATGGATAGAACACAAATCATGTAAAATGAAAAATTCGGAATATATATGTACATGTATCTAATGAATAACTTCGCACGTTAACAACGATGGTAAAACATGCATGTAATTAATTTGGACAAGAAGACATAACATTGAAGCAGTATTAGTCAAGTTTGTATATATCATTTGTCGTTAATATTGCATTCGCTTAGAAAAATAGATAAATTATTCGAACACTTAGCTATTAAAGTTTGATCGATGAGTGAAAAATGTTAAATCTTATTTCAAAATCTAATACGATTCGTCTATCACAACTTAATGGTAATGATCCGCTTTGATTTTTGGTCCTTTAGTGACATATCGTAAGTAAATTTTATTTACTGCAGTACAATATTTATAGAAATGTGTTGTAGTGAGTTACCTGCATGAATACTGTTGTCGTAAAACAACTCTTGTTGAAAGTATTACTAAATTGATGCTAGAATCTCGTGAAGAACTGAAGTACATTTTGCATTATATACCTAAATTCATGATAAATTGGGAACAGGAAAAGAATCTAGTAAAGATTCAAAATCTAACTTTAAAAAAAAAATAGTTTTTAAAAGTTGATCATCCAGCTCCCTGTAGCTCAGGAAGTGACGTAGATAGTTCTTTAGGTAGTCGATAAGGACATTCTTTGGAGACTGTTGCCTTAGAAGAGGTTGGTTGCTCTAAATTTTCGCGAGGTGTTTGACCAAAGCACACTATCTGCATGGGGCTCTCTTCTAGGTCATAGTGTTTTTTGTTGTAATTCAATGACATACCAGTCGACTCTTTTGAATCCGAAACGATCCGTTTTCGTGTTGGTGATGATGTTGATTTTCTTGGACGGATTTCAGGGAAGCGTTTGTCTCTCTGGTACTGAGTATACAAGTTTGTATTACCCACATGGTCAACACTGTTATGAAGCATGTTGTTTTTGAACACTTTTTGAAATAACGGCGAGCCTCTTGATGAAACTGTTATGTCGTCTGCGTCACTACAGCTTGTAGGTGTTGAAGGCATCAGTGCAAAGCTTACGTTTGTTGGTATTCTTTCCATCTCTGGTTCATAACCATATATTCGAAGATTTGGATCAATGAAAGAAGTTCTGGAATTTCTAGATGCTGTGGATGTATAGACCGATTTAGTGTGTTTCGAAGCTACAGAATGCGTTCCACGGTTTGATGCGTTACTCGACCACGCAGATAGTAGAGCTTTTTCACCCGGTGTCGAATTATTGCTCCGAGTAACATGCTGCGTTCCGTTATTAGCTTCAGATTTTCGCTTGTATTTAGTAAATATTTCATCAACCGGCTGAGCACAAAGAGAACTCAGCCAAGTTGAATGCGTCTGTGCATCAATGTGAAGTGTTTTATCAATCTTTCGCACGAAATAGCAATCAAAGTTTTTCTTTTGAGCTTTAGCCATAGGTCTACTAGCTTTCATAAACTTATACTTAGAAGAGTATTTAGGAGCATTTATATTGTTCGGGATTTGAAGACTTCGGTTTAAACTTGTATATGTCATAAATGGCGGTTGAATGTTGCGCGGTTTCATGCTAGCACGGCGATTGACTGTTGGTGTGGATACCGGACATCTATATGGATCTTCAATATTAGTATCAATCACCGATGGCGACAACCTAGCAAAAGCGTCGTAGTCATAATCTGGTACATCCATGATGTCATCGGGTAACTCATCTAGTCTATATGTTGTTGTTTTCATCTTGATATCTAAAAACAAAACAAAAAGCAATAATAAATTTGATTTATCGTTACAGTAAATCAAAAGGCGAATATGTCAGGTTCTTTTCTTTCATTTTAATATAAATTAGAATAAAATATAGTTGTAACAGAACAGGATTATCTTTAACAAATAAACAAACTAGAAATATGAATTAGAAAGCTTTCACTCGGTAAAATAGCACATAGCAGCACAATTGAGAATGCAATAGGCTCTACTTTGATGTGCCAATCCATGAATAAGAGCCAGCTTACACTACCAAGCAAAATTTAACATTTACTCAGATAATACTGTGTTTTCTTGAAAAGATTTCACAAATGATTGTATATATGTTATGAATATCAAATTAAATGAAGGTTGTTCCTGAAATGTAATGAAAGTACAAACGACAACGAGAAAGTTATGATATCAGTTGGTGTCTAGACTTCAAAATGTACAATACAAACTTTCGTGATCACACGTATAAGACGAAGCTTACTACGACATGATGATATTTCAATCAAGCATACTATTAGGTACAAAATCTAAAATTACTAATTCTAACACGCTTCACACCATTCCCCTATCAAACAGACAAGGCAATCAGGTGCATTATGCACAACATTAAAACAAATGCTTACACTTGATATACGTATCGTCAGATATGACGCCAATAAACTAAATGACGTCAAGAAAATTACTACTAAACTCTCTTTTCATTAGCAATTTAGAATGGAAACACATATGTTTCCTTGCATTAAAGTATACTAATGCACGGTTAATCGTTCAAATGCTTTAATTATATAATCACTCATGCCTATTGGACTTCATGATAATATTCCTGCGCATTTGAAATCGAACCCTACTGTATTCTACAACAAAGCACCAAAAATTGTTATAGATCTATTTCCTGAACATCAAACTACATTCATATATGATTATGCCGCGAAAAGGCAGCCTAGTATTTTATTGTGTACTCATAGCTTGTGTAATGTTTAAGTAATGAAAAATATAGATAACAGTTAGAAACTAATCAGCCTTTTCATTTGAATAAATTTACTGTCAAGTATTTAAAATGTCACATTTGCTTAAATAGTATATGAGTATGCAATATAAAGCTTCAGTGTTTTAGAGACTATTGAATCAAGTTGCAATGGGAATGAATATTTATTATTCCTATGCTACAAATAACTGGTTATTTTGCGTCTTCAAGGACATATTATAAAATGTATATATGTGGTATCCAAATAAAAACTGTATATAAAAAAAACTATTCATCGGAAAACAACTTGAGATATTGTATATAAGAACTTACAAAACCATAAAATCAAATTCTGCACGATGTGAAGTAGATGTTATATAAATAATATATCATAAATTATAAATTGTATAGCTTCAAAATACCCTGGCCATATATAGAATGTCTTAAATTCAAATTTTATGAATACATCGACTCCACAAAGGTTGGTCGACCTATTTGTTTCAGATTATAAATATTGTATAGATTACAAGAAGTAGAAATAACATTATTCTATGAATTACAGGAATGCATGAATATCACCCTATATCAACAAATTATAAATTATAATCTTAGTATAAATGTGTTATAAAGTTCTATATATTAAAGAGCATTTAAACGAACTTTTTCATGACTTTATGATAAAATAAACTCGCTCTTGTAGACAGATTCGCAAGAAAAAGTTATTGTAAGTTGCTTTCATAACAGAAAAAAATATGTTTAAGAATGATGAAAAATAATTGGAAAAGTAATGGAAATGTAATCGGTTATACATTCAGGGAAGGAAATACATTCCATATATGCAAGAATGCTGTTTGTGGGTATCTAGCGGTATCACGGGGGAGGAAGTGTTACACGAAGAATGGAGTTCTTATGATAACTTGTTCAGGAGTTCTTGTGATAACTGTCACGGAGTTCGTCGGAAAACATCTGTATATACTACAAAAACACTCGTTAAAAATGGTTATTTTCATCGTTCAAAAATGAGTTTTAGATGCTAAATTAAACTTTAATGATTAAGCTTGTCTTACATCTTGTATTATGTATCAAAAACTAATTCACATGCCATTTTTAATCGCCTCTTGCTTTAAATCTGGTAGTTTTCAGTAAAATTTCGAAATAATTTGCCAATTCACAAGTTTTGACCTGTTTATTTCTGGTCTTCATCCTTGCCATACATAATTACCTAATTATAATGCAAAATTGCAAATATAAAGCACCGGCTAACAGATATATACCCGATTTTTCAAATGTTCCGGAGTTCTTGTGATAACTCAGTCTGAAGATGTCACAGAGTTCTTATGATAACTTTTGTTATTGCCGATGTGTTTCTTGCGCTAAATCACGGCACGTTTTAGCGTTTTTTATTATTTAATAAGATTGTAAATCATTATGAAATGTAGTACGCTCATCCTTTGCGCAAAAAATAGGATATATAATGTTGGTTTTGAGTGAATTTTAGTTCAAGAGATATTATTTCATACCCCCGTTTCTTTTTCATAGTATTTTTTTTTTGTTTGACGCAGATTTTGTCCGGCTCCTAGCAGTATTCTGGCCCTTTATCATTTTCATCCAGTCATACAGACTATTTTTTTCTCAGTTAAGCATCTATGTTACTGCATCAGTCAGAGAAACAATTATTTTCTATGTAACACAGCAGTCATAATAGTACAGCGATTAATATGTTTCAAAGTTTTAAGTTACATTAGAGAACTTGCGACACTTACAAGCAACACCTGGGGAATTCTAGTTTGAATGCCCATGCACAATAACTGAAATCCCATTCTAGATAAATCACTACTTTTAAACAATATATTTGCAGACGACACGGAAAAGTTTGGGAAGTTATCTACATGTGTATTTGAAAACCCAGCTTAACATTGCTTATTGGTACTGAATTATATTCAAAATAAAAAAGGTTTCGAAAAACTGCTCTGAAATTTTGAATAAATGTGAACAAAGTTGTTACATCTCAGGCCCCTAAATTCCATCAAAATGTAAAATAAAAGAGCAACATTAAAACATGATAATGCTGGACAGGTACCTAACTTTGTTCTGTCAAAGTTTGCACTCTTTGGTTTAGACAGATTTTTACTTTATTTGTTAAAAAGTGCGATTTGGTGCCGGGAACTGCTATGAAACCAGTAGGGCATTTATGTACGTGATAAAATGCGCTTTGAAATACTCAAATATAGTATTTTCATGCCTATTTCTCTGTCGGTGCTTGATGAGTATTTCCCCTGGAGGAAACTCTGCTACTTTTGCTTTAATGATAACAAAAATATAAAGTCAAACTTAGTTTTCGCTTGAACCTGGAGGGACAGTTCAAGTTTGTTCGAAAGATCGGTTGTTTAACATGTATCGTACTTTTTTAAGACATAGGTGTGGAAATTATCCTGGTTATTATACTTATTTATTATGTTATAAAATGATTACAAAATTACTTAGCCCTAGGTAAGGGAAGCATGCCTATATATTGTCTGCTTAAGAAAAGGTGGTTGCCCTTAAAACATGTGAAACTGAGAACAACGTGTACGTTTTGAGACATTTTTTGTTTTGTGGTTTAAGCCATTATACTGCTGAATATCAGTGACCGCTGGTTCAATTTTTATTGTAGATGATAGCCATTCAGCTATTTATCCTTTGCAGACACTTACGACCAACTTTTTATCTACTTTTTTGTGCAAAGGATGATCGTACTGCATTTCATAATGATTTACAATCTTATTGAATAATAATAAACGCCAAAACGTGCTGTGTTTTAGCGCAAGAAACACACTGGCAATAACAAAAGTTATCATAAGAACTCTGTGACATCTTCAGAGTTATCACAAGAACTCCGGAACATTTGAAAAATCGGCTATAAATCTGTTAGCCGGTGCTTTATGATTGCAATTTTGCATTATAATTAGGAAATTATGTATTGCAAGGATGAAGACCAGAAATAAACAGGTCAAAACTTGTGAATTGCCAAGTTATTTCGAAATTTTACTGAAAACTACCAGATTTGAAGCAAGAGGCGATTAAAAATGGCATGTGAATTAGGCTTTGGCACATAATACAAGATGTAAGACAAGCTTAATCATTAAAGTTTAATTTAGCATCTAAAACTCATTTTTGAACGATGAAAATAACCATTTTAACGAGTGTTTTTGTAGTATATACAGATGTTTTCCGACGAACTCCGTGACAGTTATCACAAGAACTCCTGAACAAGTTATCATAAGAACTCCATCCTTCGTGTAACACTTCCTCCCCCGTGGGTATCACAGTGTTAGTTTTAATGTATTCATTTCACGGGTCAGGTAAAGAAATCCCGTCTAACCTTTATTATCATAGCGATTTTTTATTTAATTTTTCGTTTTGTTTTCGTTCTGTCAGTTATTTATTTGGATTAATTACCAATTGGTAAAAAAGATTACAGAGAGCTTTTTCAAAGCTGATGAAGTGCTCTAAGAACGAATTAATGTAAAGAAATCGAAAACTTCATAGTCAGTTAAATATGAAAAATTATTCATAATTATAAAGAATTCTTTATGCAAATGTGATATATAATGAATGATCAAAATGATTACCTTCAGTTTTTAAATCCAGGTAGAACAAATTGGATCACAGACGTAGACAAAATCGTTTATAACATTTCCATTTAAACATTTTGTGTGAAAAAAACTGTTACATTTTCTAAAGAACCTTGCAATCCGTTAACAAGTTTTATAGTCCAATAAATAAGGTAGTATTGTGAAACAAATTAGTTATTTTACACCGTTATTTCAACTATTTACCATCTTACATTTTAATTATGGTAATACGATCTACAGTTTATTTTACAATCTATAGTGGTTCACACAGATATTTCATTTAATTCCAGTTTAAAAACACTGATTTTAAAGCTTTAAGAATCGTAAAGGTTATTTGTGATCGAGTTAATGTGTCTGTAACTATTTGGCGGAAATATTTCATTCTCTATATATTTAATCCTATCGTAATCTCGAACGTTAATAAATCTTAGTAGATTAACGTTAAACCCGTTAAACGTGAATCTATCGCATGATGTATAGACTTGAGTTCAAAGTAAGTTATCGCAATATTATATCTTTCCGACATTAATTTCAATATGTCAATATTTCGGCAAATGAAATATTGCTAGTTCTACTTAATTCAATGCAAGGTGTCCTTAAAACATATGGGCCATTGTGATACGTTTGAGTTAAGAGAAAATTTCCGATCTCTTATCATAGAAGTAGACCGAACATTTAATAATTAATGTTCAACAAATGATAGGAACCGTTGACCTTGTATATTTCATCAAAAATCACAAAACAGTTATTCATGATATGGTTTGAAGTAATTTAAAGTCGTTTAAGTGTATTTTTTTTTCAGACGTTTTTTTTTTATTTAATCAATTTCTTTAAAAGAAAAAAATAAAAGAGATTTACGTGCCTTAAATGTTTCAATATTGTATATGGCCTTGTGATCACCCAATTTTGTAAAACCCAATGTTCCACTTCTTTCTATAATGCACTAATCCAGCTTTGACTATAGCATTAACCATCATTTTTAATTATAGGTAATGTAAAATCATGTGTTCTGATTTGAACCCGTAGTCTGCGGAATAGCCCTACTTTAAAAATGGGAATTCTATTCAAAGTTCAAGGGGTTTAAATATCAAAACAATAAAATATATCTACCAACAGTATAGAATCTGATCAGACTGCGCGGTTGTACAGACTGACCTGGTTCTACAACGATTGCAAAGGCCAATCATTTCCGGTTCCGGCAGCTTTTAAAGTGTTACGTCAGATCGGCGGAGTATCCAAACCAGCTGTCAGCACCAGATCCAGAGTTGTATCAACTATCTAGTGATTTTATAAAAAAAAAAAAAAAAAAAAAAAAAAAAACAAAAAAAAAAAAAAAACAGCCCTAAAACCTTCTATTTTATTTAGTTATAATTATTTTGACTGTCTGGTTGTTGTCCTTATAATGCTAGTTTATCATATTTCATGCTCTTAACCAACTAATTAAGAATTAAGTTTTAAGAAATTTAGATAACATATTTATCATAATTCCGTGAAATCGCAATTTATTAGTTAAATAGTTTAATTCAGCATAAACCGCCTCTTGCTGTAAGTCAAAATAAGCAAATATTGTCGACTTGCATCAGTTAAACGTAATGTACGTTGATTGAACGTAAACGTAACAATGAATGTAGGTAAACCTTTAGTATTTTTTATTTTATGCGGACATTCACAATAAATAAAATAGCTCAATCAGAAATCGTGTAAGGAGCTGTGAACGTTTTGTCAAATAGATAGAATGTACAGACGAAAGTATAGCATAATAAAGAAGTTATGTAAAAAGATTAAAGCAAAATACTTAAAATGGTGCAATCGCATGATATAAAGCAGTGTCACTATATCAATAAATTATCTATAGGTGATATGCACCACTGTGAAGTGCCGTGTTAAAAGAAATTTCGACATTTTTTTTTCATAAAACATTTGTAGAAAAGTAACATGTTTCAAGGTTGTCTTTTAAACTTTTGTTGTTAAAAGATATGCTGCGGGCAAAATTGGATACTGCCCGTCTACCAGCCTGCCTGAACGCCCGTCAACTCGAACGCCCCCGTCTGTATGGGAATTTCTATAACACGACATGTTTTACGAATGGCCGCATTACAAAAGGCATATGAAACTACATGTATTATAAAATGCATAGTTTATTACTTACTTTATCTGTCCGAAAAGTCATTCCATATAATCTTACCCATTTGTTCCTTTTTAAGAATAAAAAAATGTTTTACAAACAGGACATTATAAACACCTTTATGATTATTTCAAAGTCCATTTTCCGGCCAATAGTTGAAACCACTCTTTTTTAGCATGAATATAACTTTTAAGAATCTTATAAAAGAAATTGATAAGAGTGTTGTATAAACATGACCACAGAAGTACGGGAAAGGGAAGTTGAAAACAACGTGCGTTATAAAAACAAATAAATAATAAAAATGAAAAAGCTAGTGTAAATATTTAACGCTTTAAATGTGGCAAGGAGGGTCAATATGTTTTCTTTTGTTTGACTTTATTTAAAAGTGTCATTGACTCGAAAAGTGTAAGCTACCGTATAAATACATTTCTCGTTTCTTTTAACTAGCTCCGCTATTAATAATTTAATGGTAAAGCATTTTATTTTCAGTGTTGTAAAAGGTAGTTAAATCAACATGTTTTGTAAGCACGGGACACTTAATCATTGGCACACATTAGTTTTTTCTTTCTTCTGCATTTGTTAATGTTTGGTTAGTAAGCACTCTGTATAATACTTTCAATGTATTCGACGCATATTTCTTATTCGGTGCTGTAATTAGGTGTTATTATATTTCAATTATGTCTAACATAGCTTCTTAAAATGTCATGTGTTTTATGCCATTAATTGACAATGTCATATGAAAGAAAGCTCATGTAGTCTGACTTGCGTCATATTTATCACTATTTATATTCTAAATATAAAATTAAAACATTTATTTTGAGATACACATGTACAGTTTGCTCATACTTCACTGCCAACTCCTTTTTAAACAATGGAGTAATCAGCAAAAATTTGCTTAGTACATTCACTAACCTTAATTGATAATTAATTATAATCGATTCATTATACTGTTGAGTTTTATCTGTGAGATATAATTTATAACAGTTACAGTATATTTACAGTACAGTATATCAAATTATATCACTGATAGAGATTTGATATCACAGAATGTCACTGATAAAGGTTTTATATTATTTAATGTCACTGATATAGATTTGATGTCACCTAATGGCACTGATACAGATTTGATATCACATAATGTCACTGATACAGATTCTATATCATTTAATTTAGTTGATACAGATTTGATATCACATAATGTCACTGATACAGATTTGATATCACATAATGTCACTGATACAGATTTGATATCACATAATGTCACTGATACAGATTCTATATCATTTAATGACACTGATATAGATTTGATATGACATAATGTCACTGATATATATTTGATATCACATGATGTCAATGATAATAATTTTATATCATTTAATGTCACTTATACAGATTTTATATCATTTAATGTCACTGATATACATTTGATACCACATAATGTCACTGATACAGATTTTATATCATTTAATATCATTGATATAGATTTGATGTCACCAAATGGCACTGATACAGATTTTATATCACGTAATTTCACTGATATAGCTTTAATGAACTTTTGTTTGTGTGTTTATTTTTAGGACTGTGTAAGTTTACATAATATGATTCTGGTTTGTTCTCCCTCCTAATGCATTGAAACTTGGGGTCGTTGGATCAAACCCTAGAAGGGTCAACATTTTTATTTCTTTTAAAATCATGTTTCTCTTGGATCCCTTTTGGAAACAAAAAATATTATTCAATTCTAATTATACATATACAATTATTACAGGTATTTTTGGCCAAATAATGATAAGTTTAATAGAATCTAGCAGATATGGTACTTGATAAGATCAACAAATATACTTTTAAGAAGAGTTAGGCAAACTTTAAAAAAAACATCCCTTCTTTTTGTTAAAATATAGGGATATTTTGAGCAAGGAACTGGTTAAACAAGTATTTAAAATGGGTGGGGTAGGGTACATTTTATTGATATTTCAAACATTTTCAGTAGAAACGATCATTTTGCTTGTGTGATTTGTTAGCTCAAATGATATTATTTGTTTCGTTACAATAATCAATAGGAAAATATTTTTCATAAGAACAGATCAGAACTTTAATTACCATTAGTGCAAAGTATATCATCTACAGATAATATCACGGGGATGATATTCTTGCATATCAGACAGGATTTTCTTGCATATCAGACAGGATTATCTACCGTTTACACCGGTGCTAGAAAACCTTGTCTTACACCCCCATGTAAGACAAGTCGCGTGCTTTAAATGACGTCATTGCTGCGCGCCTTTTATGAATAAATTGCGTTCTTAGGATGACGTCATTAACCGTTATGAATAAAGTTGTACGTTCATACGCTACTATAAGAAAAAAGTGCGTAATGAGAATATCAGTTTTCGTAATTTCTGTTCTGAAAATAATTGATACCAAATATGCAAGAAAAGAATCAAACACCGGCTGTCGGTACAGACGGGAATATCTAGCTCTCGGGTGACTGCTTAGCGGAAACTCGGCAGAGCCTTGTTACCGCCGTAAACAGTCACCCTCGAGCTAGATATTCCGGTCTGTACCGGCAGCCAGTGTAAGATTCATATAATCTACCGTTTACACCGGTGCTAGAGAACTCTGTCTTACACACCATGTAAGACAAGTCGCGTGCTATAAATGACGTCATTGACGGGCGCCTTTTAGGAATGAATCGTGTTCTTAGAATGACGTCATTTTTCCTTTATGAATGAACTTACTATATGTTAATACGCTACTATAAGAAAAAAGTGCGTAATGAGAATATCAGTTTTCATGATTTCAGTTCCGAAAATAATTGACATGTAATATGCAAGAAAAAGAATCAAACACCAGCTGTTGGTACAGACGGGAATATCTAGCTCTCGGGTAACTGTTTAGCGGAAACTCGACAGAGCCTCGGTACTGCTGTAAACAGTTACCCTCGAGCTAGATATTCCGGTCTGTACCGGCAGCCAGTGTAAGATTCTCATATTATAAATGGCTGTGACTAAAAAAAGGATTGGAGCACCACACTAAATACCGTATTCCGGTATATACCGGACAAGGCGCTTGAATGATAAAATGTTAAAATCTTGTCTTTTTACCCAACGGAATGAACTTTAACAGGTCTAATTCATCTTTTCACACCGAATCAAGTACGATAATCAAGAAAAAATGTAAAATTCGGCGAAAACAACGATATTTGTCTATTTTGTGATCATGATTTCTGCAAGCGTCTAGAGGTACTGCTCCAATCCTGTATTGAGTTAAATCCATTATAAATCATTTAAAGTTTCCTCATACCTTTATACATTCAAATATCGTTACTTCATTAAAATTGTATATGATAACAACGCAGTAATGCAAATGAACTGGATTTGTTCGCGCCGAACATCATCTTTAAATGCGCCCATAGAATAGAAAGTAGAAAAAACCTGATATCTTTAAAGTTCTTCATTACCATTATCTTGATAACATCCTTTAGACTGCTTTAGGCCTTCTGAAATAAAATAATGTAGACAAAAAACCTAGCTGAATACGAATAAATTGTTGAGTATTTAAAAAAAAAAAAAAAAAAAAAAAAAAAAAACAACAGCTAAAATCAGTTTTGGCCGGATTATAATATTAAAGAAAAAGAAGAAGAAATAAACACTCAAAAAGGGGCATGTAAAAGCTTTCATGATATACATGTTCATGTATACAGTATACATAAGTAAATTACTAATTACATAGCAAGATGACGTGGCTGCAAGTATTGCTTTTCTTTCATTATTAATGGTTGTCATTCATTAAATAATTAATTAACAAGTTATTTACTTATTTTAGTAATTCTCTATCAAAATATGTAGGGGTAAGAAAAAAATTAATGTATAGATAATACTTACAATCTCGAGAGAGACAGTGTCAGCATCTATTACATGGTGTCCTTAAAATTCGAGATAAATGTATACATGCACTATAAAACACGAACGAAGTTTTGCATTTCACAGACTCCATCCATTGGAGGTACACTACGTGGTTTTCTCTATCTATTCTAGGCGATGAGAGGACATTCTTAAACTTGACACAGCTATTCTATACTTTTTGATCAACAATATCTAAATATCTACTAAAACTGAAATCATTGAAAGTTAGGTAAAATAGTGTTCTTGAAAAATTAGTAATACGGGCATTTGAATCCTGTTTCCATGTGTTGTGTCTCTTACTCTCTGACTGAATATATTGAGAAACATTTTAAAATGCGGAACACCTTGGTTTTGCTATACATTGTTGAAACCTAATCTAGACAATAATGATCGTACGTTCGAAACCTAATTTACTTTTTTACTATCATTTTCACAATCTGCTTTTAATAGTAAGTATGCATGTTTAGTTCTGACATACTTAATTTAAACCAATAACTTATTATTTAACATAATCTGTTAATTTCTACAGTAAATTTACCCAGTTAACTATATACAAAATCATTTGGAGCATGTATCTAAACACCAATTTAAGTTTTACAAAAAAGCCAAAATTTAGATCGTGTACTCTAAAATGAACCACCTGTGCTAAACAATGTTCTTTAGAATTTAAATTGTGATACAATTTCGATGAGACTGACATAGGTTCTATATTTTGAGGTATTTATCCACTTTTTCTCAACATTATCATTTTTTCTTATCAGCAATAACTGTAATCACTATTCAGATAAAATGTTCAAGGCATATTGTATACATTCCGCCGTTTTAGGGAAAATAGTTATATCGTCCGCATACAGTAATAATCATACATTAAAAATACCAGCATACAAAACGGGACAGGCTCTCACCCTCTCACCCTGTCTAAGTCCTAACTTACGAGTAAAAGCTCCACTAATATGATGAAAATGTTTAACTCTTGAGAAAATAACCTTATATATGCTCCTTAAAACTTTGAAAAATATTATCAGTCACTCCAGGTAATAGAAAGAGCATTGAAACACGAGGCTATCTGACTTGTTCGAGGGGGCGTTGCCCCCGAGTATTAATCAGATTGCCGAGTGTTTTGATGTTCTTTCTCTTTCGTATCATAGTGAAACATAAAAACACGTTCCCTGTTGTCACAATATGAAACCCCGGGAAAAAGTAACCAATGAACGAGCATCTGGATATGATATTTTTGTCGCTTTCTCTTCCGTCACAACAAGTAAACCCCAGCAAAAATGAACCATTCAATGGGTATGCTCTGGAGTGCCGGTAACTTATATCTGCACTCCAGTTAACGCACTGTGCATATGTATACGATTTAACTCTGACACATTTTCAACAGAAAGGTCCCAAAACTATGATACAAATCTTATTAATTGTACCACAACGAAATCGTTTCATTTTTATTCAAGCAATGTGAAATAAGAGCATTTAGATAAAAACATTATCAACATTTTTTTCTAAAACCGGTCTGGGCCTCTCTATGTTAACACCATAGGATTCAGCCCAGTTATCTAATTGTCGTGATAATTTTGCAGGAGAACTTAACAATGTAAATACACAGTAGAATTAACCAAAAACAAAGGGTGTTACTACGATTATGTTACAATGTTTAAGTCATTTATATGATCGCGTTAAGATGCAAACTATTTAAACAACTTTTTGATTTTCTTTACCCATTTTCCAATAAAGTATACTATGTATAAAAAAATAACATTCAGCTAGAAGAATTTTTAATTAAACATATAAATATTATAATTCCTTTGCATATGGTCATAATACAGGTTTCAAACTTTAAGAAACTTATACTATACAATTTATATTTAACTTAGAGTACGCAAGAATTGCATATGTTCGGGCAAAAGATAACTTTGGACTGTTTGTCTGACAGATATTTGAGATATTCTTTGGCCGATAAAACGGATAGAACGATTGATATGGTCGATCGCTTTCTGACCAAATAGTTTTGTTTTTATCATCCATTCGGGTTTTGTACCTCTATAGTATTTGTTTTGAGGTTTGTTTCCTAGGCAATACAGTGTTTTTAAAGAAATACCACGATTGAGAAAATTCATAACTTTATACATTTCTAGAATGGTATTAGCTTGCAGTCTTTCGTAAATAATGACATGTAGAGGCATTTTGTACTTGGTCAGCCAATAGAGCGTTGTTTTCATCCAACGGTTTGAAATTCTCATGGCAAACGCCCTCCACCCTGAAAAATACATGAATGCTATTAGCAATTAAACTGTTTTCTTCGAGACATAATAGTTTTCCCTGTTTTTAGGTGATAATGTTCGTTGAATTAAGTTATTCACCTTCGTCTCAGATATCCAATAATTCAGCACTTACTTCATTTATATTTTTGATTGTTTCAGCTTATGATGTTAAGAAATGGTAGCTTGAAATGTTAAAAGCTCCGAAGTTTTGAATGAAAATGTTACATATTCTACATGCTGCAAATACAATAATTATAGAAACTGGTGAACTGGCGTGTAGAAAATAACATAACTCACGTGTACTGTGAAATTCTCTTTTGCTAGCGAAACCCACTTTCCCATTATTTAGTCGATTGAACTCCGCCATTATCGCATCATATGGATTTCTCAAAATAAAAATTGCTCGTGAAAATCTTGATGGTTTACAATTGTTTCGCACTGCAAGATCTGAAGCTTTGTGTGTTTTCACGATAAAGACATCTCCATTCGTAGGACATACTTTCGAGCCTTGGAAATGTGATTTAGGGTCTTTGTAGAGACTTCCGGTATGTATTCCTGTTATATAGAAAATTAACTTTTATAGTAGAATTAAATATGGATAAAGGACAGATAATCTGTCTGAGTACAAACTATGTCCTAACAGAATTTGAGAGTTTGAAGAAATCAAGAGATACAAATTGACAGTGAAGTTGGAATTGAACGGTATTGGCACCAATGCTCAGACTTAAATAACGTACTAGCTTTAAAATTTCCTGAAAAGGTTCATATCAATGCATTCGGTTCTGACGTGAGAACTTTCATTTGAGGTAAAATGAAAAAAACAAAACAAAAACAAAACAACAAAAAAACCGATTGCCCGGTATTTTTACAAGTACTACAGCGTGCGTTAGCTCTATGATTTAAAGTATTGCACTATTATTATTTAATCAAAAAAAAGGAAATAAGATGGAGCAGAAGGAATCAGATGCAGGTTATTAGACAGGACTTTGTTTGATCAATAACTATATAATCTTGAATGATTGGTACTGCACGTCAAGCTTGCACCAGTCATCAAGAGATATTCATAAAGCTTTTATAAATATTTATCAGCCGGGTCGTCTTTGTATCATGATATAAAGGTACATGTAAACATCCATATTTGTCTTTGAAATAAATGCGTGAAGTGTATAATTTATCTAGACTTTGAATATTAAAAGAAGTTGAACTGATTATCATTGTGCTTCTTTTAAATTTTCCAATTGCTCAATAAAAATACCTGAAACACATCTAAATGGCTTTTAAATTAAAGCAAAACAGTCATATGATTGTACATATCATTGTACAATAGGAACACCGCATCATTAAATATTGTTCATGTAGATTTACATGTATTATCCAATTTTTCATCTTACAAAATGAAATATATATCTCTTTGAAAAAACTTTTGCCAAAGTTTTTTCCTCTTCATCATTGGTGAATATACCTTTTTCGTATATGTGGATTATTGCTAACAGAAAGAAATATTTTGTTTTGTAATAACTTATTTTCCATATAAAAGACAATTAAAGGAGCAGTTCGTACAAATTGGCATTGGAAGTGTAAAGAAAATGTACAGATGTGTTAGCAGTGTTCCAAGGTTGAAAAATTAATCACTTTTATGGATGTTAAGAAATTCAAAAATTGTGTGACAAGATACGGTTAGCTCCTCACATAGGTTAAATGTAGAAAAATCAGACTTTTAAATATTGTCATGTAGATTTACTATTAGCCTAAAGAAAAGGGTGTTTTTCAATGTTTAATAAATTTTAATAATGTTTATATACATTGCTAGTCAGTGTATGTTAAGTATTTATGATGAAATTATAATTATAACTTAACGTAGCATGTCATCCATATAGTGTAGACAATGTGATCGGGCCAGGGGCCATACAATAGAAATTAATTGAATTATTTACGATATAAAATAAATTAAGTTTATTGTTTTACCTGTGACTCTTTCTAATAAAACTCGTGTCCATGTGTTACCTGATCCCGGAAAACTTGCCAGTGCAACCAAAGGTGACTTTTTTGTTAAATAATCCATTTTAGACGATGGGCATTGTACATTTTGAATATTTTTACTGAGCAGTGATTTATCAAGACGAAATGGAATCCTTTTAACCTTTTTTCCACTACATTTCCTTTTCAATGATTCAAAAACTGTATGATTTAAGTAATTGTTAAAGTTGTCATAAATAAATGTTTGACAGCCATTTTTATCAGATGAATCGTGGAAACGACCGGTGTAAGTTTTCGATATGCTATATTTATGTCGGCCATACACTGTTGGTTGCAAAATATCTGTCATTGTTCTTTTACCCATAACGTCCTTTCCCATCAGTTTATTTTTGTTTTCACTGGTATCTTTGGATACGTTATTGTTGTTTCTGTCAAATAAATATTGTCCTGTCGTTAGGTCTGTGCTATCATTTATGACAGATCGGTTCAATCTGATTTTGATATTTTCCTCTTGATGAGTATCACTAGCTTTTGTAAAATACAAGTTTGTTCGAACCGTTTTATTTTTAGGACGATTTAAATTACTCGATATGTTATAACTCAGATTGCCTTCTCCTCTCTTTCTTCCACGAAAAAGACTTCCTGTGACAATCGGTACATCTGTTGTGTTATTTTGTTGGTACAAAGTTGAATCAGTTGAATCGTTTTGAGTTTTGTAGTTGAAATGTTCAGTTTTGGTATTATCGTACATGTTAGATTCCATTAAAGTAAACAATTGTATTTTGGTTCTAATTGTCGTCCGTAGTAAATACTGCCTTGTCATGTCTTGATAGACTACTAAAATAATTAATACTGAGAAAGACAGGAAAGCAAATGTAGACTGATACATGTCTTGGTTTTTATTTGTTAATTACTTGTTTATCATTTATTAAAAATGTGGTGATTTCCTATCATGATTTGGTCGTGAGTTACTTTTCAGTATTGCAATGTTCGGTGGCAAAAGCTGTTACTGTACGAAGTTCCACTAAAAGACCAGTACATAAGCATACTATGACTTTATACGTTTATAGATCGTATATCTAAATAGATATACTTTAATATAATCGTTTTATGTTAACGCTAAATCATATAGTACACACTTCATTTTTGACCTTTTTAAAATTTGTTATTCCTACGAAACCGTGAATGTTTACTCCTGCACAATTTCAAACAACGAATCAGCAGTTAAAACTTTATGTTTAGGCATTATCGATACTTTGATTAAATGAAATTGTTTTTTCTTCCTGTCTGGTTTACATTCACTAATATAATAGAATAATTAATAACAGGTAGTCCAATGTAATGTTTTTTCTCCCGACAAAACAAAAGTAATTTACAACGAAAAAGTAAATAAACATTTGTCATTTTAACTTTTATACTCATATTCCGATGTACAGAAATTTGAATAAAATTATTATTAATTTCTTAAACATTTATGCCATAATAATGTTATTTATGATTTTAGTTTTGATAACAGTGTATTTACCCCCTGAAGGCAAACAAATTAAAAAGTAAAACTTCCATAACGCGCCGTGTTTTATGTGACCTTTTTCGGCAAAAACAATTTCTTTTAATTAAAATGTAATAAAATGGAAGCTTTAAAGACATTGAAAATAGTGGTATGCTAGATTGCACCTTAACAGCAGTGCTAAATGCAAGCTACCTTTAGGCCCCATAAAACTATCTTCAGTTAATGCATTGTCTATGTTGTTGTTGTTGTTTTGAGGATTTACCTTTTCAACCATTTCGTGAGATTTCATTGCATTTTTCTATTCCTGTCCATTTTGATAAGCAGTTCACAATGTGACTATATTTTTCCTTCACGATAGGTGATTTCAGACCTATCAGAGCAGATGCTTGTATATATCTATGATAAATGTCTTTTATCTTTGCAAAACAGAGGATGTCATCAAAATAAAACTTACTTTGCTTTATCAGGATGTTTTCAAGTAAATGTTATCAAAGCGTGCAGTATGGAATCAGCCAAAAATATTTATAAATACATAAAAAAACATGAAATAAAAAAAACATAAAGAAATAAATGGGTTTTCACATATCTGTTTTTGCACCGACAAATGAGCTTAAATCAATGAGATACAGCAACAGTGATAGATAAACTTATAATACAATTTTAAATGACATTATTCCATTCTAAATGCAACTTATAAACGTAATGCATATTTTATCATTGTTGCATTTTTTTACAAAGAGGGTTTTTCAACGTGATTAAGTATAATGACATAAAACGCATGTGTAACGCATAAATGTTTTAATGCGGCTACTTTAGAGTTCTCCAGAATATTACCATCATTACGAGGAGGCTATTTCTATAATGAACACATCAAATAAACAAGCCGGATTCTCTACGAATAGAACCGCTAACGAAGGCAGGTAGTACATATATACAAACAATATCACGTAATTACTGAAAAATTTACAGTATAGGACAGTTATATGCCTTAAATATCACCTGCATGCAAAATTTAAACACAATTTACCGTGTGGTTTATGAGTTATGGACATTTTTCTGAGCTAAAACTGCGCCATTAGAAGGGCTTTTTCAGAAATGAGAAAACTCTAAATAATCTATAATATCATCATTATGGAACATGTTTTCCTATTGCTCATTGTTAACAAACAAATAAAGACATTCAGGTAACAAATAAAACAATCAAAAAAATTGTTTCTAAACAAAATGTTTTAAATATGTATAAAAATGTAACCCTACCCCACCCACTTTAAACACTTATTTGACCATTTCCCTATGTAAAAAGCCTTATTCAAAATATCCCTTAAGTTTACCAAAATGAGGGGCGGTTTTAAAGTTTGTATATTGGATTGTCTTGCAAAATATAAAATACTTTTACCATGTAGTTTTTATTTTATTAAACTTTGTAAATATTTGGTGTCATATTTGCCATTAAATTTGACATTTTTCAGCAAATAAATACCTACACTAATTATATAATTAAAATCAAACACTTTTTTCTTCCATAATGGATCTGAGAGATACATAAAAATGTTAAAAAGAAAAAAAAGAAAAAAAAAAGTTGCCACTTTTGGGACTTGAACCCACGCCCCTCAGTTTCAATGCACTTGACAGTGATTCTATCCTATTTAAATACTCTTGAAAGTGGAGATAATGCATTAGAGGTGTACTTTTAACCAATATATGAAAACAGAATGCTTATTATACGAATGTCTGATAGCGGCTTGCCACTAACTAATGTCTGAAATGTAAGGGTTATGAAAATGACTGAGGAAATGGCAGAATCAACATAATGTTACCAACTGCCTCACAAATATATGCATGCCATTGGCCAGGCACGCTGGTGTGACACAACAGCATGGAAGTTACTGTCGGTTAGAATACTCTAGTCGGTGTTCAGGAGGTAGTGGCTGGCATACTCCATATTGGCGTGTCACAAGAATGTTGTTGAAAAAGAATAATGACAGTCCAGCTATAAGGTGAGGATATACATGTAGTAATACAAGCACAAAGAAAAGTTATACTTCGTTTAACAACCTCTTCTAGAAATGATTAATCAGTCATAAAGAAATATAAAATGCCCGCTATGGTGAATAGCTGTAATAATAAGTATAATCAAAATACGACAAACTACTAAGTGCCATCTGATTAATTGGATAGCGCGTATGACGGAAGAAAATATTAACAGACATGAAAAGTCTAATGAATAAGCATTAAATCTTGTCGTCTGCTAGTGTTGCTCATGATAGTATTGACTGTATAAATATATACATGTACATATTATTAATAATACTTATCGAACATACAGGATCCTTACAATAAATGTACCAATACGAACACAATCACGGAGAAATTTATCGTTATATTATAAAAAGAAAACAGAAAAACTATCTAACATAATAGTCCGACATGAATTAACAGGGTCAAAACATCGGTCCGGTAAAATTGTTTTTATTATTTTGGCAACATCATCAAAATTTAACATTTTAGCATGATCCAAATTATGGTCTCATTGGCGTCCATTGCACCACTTAGTCATGTGTACTGTATATCAAATAAAAATTTTAGTCGCATTCAGTGAATTACTAGATTCAAAATTAATATGTTATCATTTGGAAATTTAATACAAATTTAGGACATGAAAGGTGACATGTTCGGGGTCCGTACTCTCAGTGCCCGAATAGGCGGATTGACCCTTATTAAACTTAGAACACATTCACGCTACAAATATTTTTGATAAACAAATATAAACTAATTCTTCGCTTTCATAAAATGTTTGCAATATCCTACAAAGAGTTGAATTTGATTGTAAATATTAGCTGTAAAAATTAATCTCAGAAAAAAATAGAAATGAGGTTAAAAATGAAACATTATAACACATATTGAAAGTGAGCTAAAATCTGACATAGAAATTGTTCTGTAGTGAAAATGAACGAATAAGTGAACAGGAAAAAATGTCTGGATCATAACAATATAGCATTTCAATTCACAAAAAACAGTTGGTATACGTTGACGATTACGTAACCAACCTAAAATGACGTTGTGTAACCGCCACGTGCCCAGATGATAGTCTCAACTCATCTCCTCACACCAGGCATTTTGCCTCAATTTTGACATGATCACAACTGAAGTTCTGAATTTTATTTGGGCAATGGTACAAACCACCTGTAGACAACCTGCAACAGCTGGAACAAGATTGCAAAATTTACCTCAAAATCGCATGAGACGCCTTACTGGTAGTACGAGGAGAAGGTATACAGCTATCACCCGGGCACGTGGCGGTAAACACGTTATAAAAATTTGCCTACATAATGTCATTTTAGGTTACGTAATCATTAACATTTACCAAAAATGTCCACCAGAAATTGTTTTGTAACCGCTCCAACACCATACTTATAAGCACTTATATTTTTTGTATAAAACAAACACATGTGCTTATACTTCAATAATTTGATAAAAATTAACTAAACTCATAAATTTACTGGTTTGTGATTACGAAATCGGTATTGCTACTTATCACATTAATATGTCTTAGTCAGCTCATGAAAGTGCTTTCAATCACAACCAATTTTAAATTTCCAGGGTGTGCTCAACTTATTTCCAGTAGTAGTAATTTTTTTTTACATCTCATCATTGTACAGACATACACAATGTTAAACAGTTAAGCATAAAAGTACAATGCCACTCCAGCATGGAGTTATAGGAGATGAAAAACCTTAATCACACTATTAGAATATATGCATAAATCATTATAACAACGTGTAAGAGATAAAACTGAGAAACTATTGCTATACACAGACTAATAAAATTAAACATCGTGACTACCTGAAAGAAGCAATTTAAGATAGTAAGCATACAACATTAAAACTGAGAAATCGTATAAAAATTAACTAAAATAACGATTTTATTTCAGTAAAAAAATCAAACTAATAGGAATAGCTGATAAGAATAGCTGCAGTATTTCATACAAATGTGAAAGATATAAATATTTACAATTTACATAATAAAAACCGGCGTCTTTGTAAAATTTCAAAACAGGTTTTGACACAAATATGAATCATATCTATGTTTGAAAAAAGAAAACATTATTTGTCATCATCAGACAGTGTCGAAAAGCTGTTACATGCTTTAGCCAACAAATCTCGCCTTATATCATTGTAAAGAGAACAATTCAAGATAACATGCAATTCATTTTCTATAGTATCATTATTGCAAAAACGACAGATCCTGGCTTGCTCTGGTAAGCCTTCATACCTCCCCGTTTCAATTCTGATGGGAGCGACCCAAATACGGAATTTACAGAAAGCAGTTCTATGATTTGGTGGTAATACATGTACAAGCTTACAGTATTTTTCTACTTTAAACTACTTTATTTCTACTTTACACTCGTAGTTTATTACGTTCACGACCAGAGTGCCCAATAACATTGTTGATTTTGTTATACCAAATACTTATAAATTTATTTAATGTTTTTATTTCAACATCATTGGCAAAAAAACGAGGTATAGGAC